GAATGGCCGTGCTGGGGCAGGACCTGCCTCTTCCTACTGCAGGGGCCAAACCCATCCCTGGAGCAGCTCTGCTGCAGCCCGGGCCCTGGGGCCCAACCCCGACCAGCACCCCGGGGCTAGAAGCACGTGAGGCTGCTGCAGGCCGGGCAGCAGCTGGGACCCTCCTGCAAGGCTGGGCAGGGCAAGCGCCACTCACTGGCGAATGGCCGTGCTGGGGCAGGACCTGCCTCTTCCTACTGCAGGGGCCAAACCCATCCCTGGAGCAGCTCTGCTGCAGCCCGGGCCCTGGGGCCCAACCCCGACCAGCACCCCGGGGCTAGAAGCACGTGAGGCTGCTGCAGGCCGGGCAGCAGCTGGGACCCTCCTGCAAGGCTGGGCAGGGCAAGCGCCACTCACTGGCCCTTCCCTCCCTCCTAGGTGAAGTCAGAGATGAAGAAGAAATGGCAGCTCTGGCTGCTGGACCACCCCACGCTCTGCTGCACGCAGTGACGGCTCCCTGGCTGCCGCGGCCGCTTGCCTAGGAGAGCCGCCGGACAAGGGGGCGCCCGCGGTTCTGTGGCCGGGAGAAGGCCCCACGGCCTGCCCTGCTCCTGGGGGGGACGGTCTGTGGTACAGCACCTCCGCCACGCAGGGCCCGGGGAGTCACTCGCCCAGGTGCCGGGAGGGAGCACGAGGGGCCTGGCTGGACGTGCAGCGGGGCTAAGTCCCCGGGTCCCGAGCGTGGCAGGCTCTGGTGCCAACACTGCCCGAGCGTGGCATGAAAGCCAGGAGCCTGCAGGCCGGCACCTCAGCAGAGCAGCTGCGTCTGAGGCATTGCTGGGCCCTGTGGACACGGCTGTGAAGATCCCTCGAAGACCCTGGAAGCGCTGGGCTGGGACCCTGCTGCACTGCGGAACAGGACCCCAAGGGGGCGGGGAAACACCCCCCTGCTACTTGACCCTCTAGCACAGCACCTGGAACCTACCTCCCGCTGGAGCGAGACCCACGTCCCAGCAGGCAGGGGTGGGGGTGGGCGGGCCAGACTGGCTGGGCAGCCAGGAGACACTGCTAGGAAGTGTCGCACGCCAAGGCACACCTGGGCTAGGCCCTAGGCACGGGTCAGCCCGGGCAGAAGGCTCACACAGCTGGTCCATGGGGCGCTAATGGGGCAGGGTCCCCTCTCAGGGCGCTGCTCCCAGGGCTCATTCCGGCAGCGGGAGGGCTGGGTGAGGCCTGGCTGCTTAGCCCCTGGGAGCTGGCTGTGCCCTGCCACAGATCCGGCTGTGACTGCCCGGTATGGCCACGTCTCAGCTGCGTGGCAGGGCTGCCCGCGGGGTCAGCCGCCCGTTTCCGCCTTTCTTTCCATCACCCCAGCTTCTCCGGCCCTTGGACCTTGGCTTTCGGCCACCTGGCTGTGGATCCTCTTCAGAGATCTGTCAGCAGCCGCCCCCCTCCCAGCGCCCTGCCCCACGCCTGCTCTGCTG